CGCATCCAGTTTCAAATTAACGGCGCCAACGCCGCAACTGCCCCGGGTCGGACGGCCGGCAGGGGGCGTGCATTAAGGGGAACTTATCCCTCTGCGGTGGCGGCGCGGGACGAGCAGGGCGTCAAACACCTCCTGGGCCGGCGAGCGCCACACCGCCTGCACCACCAATGACACCGCCCTGCGGTCCACGCGCGCGTGGCGCCATCCCTCCTTCCTCCTCCACCCTCCATCCTCCATCCTCTTCCACCCTCCACCCTCTTCCACCCTCCACCCTCTTCCACCCTCTTCCACCCTCCTCCACCCTCCATCCTCCTCCACCCTCCACCCTCCATCCTCCTCCACCCTCCACCCTCTTCCAACCTCCACCCTCTTCCACCCTCCATCCTCCTCCACCCTCTTCCACCCTCCTCCACCCTTCATCCTCCTCCACCCTCCACCCTCCATCCTCAGTCCTCCATCCTCCTCCTCCACCCTCCATCCTCCATCCTCCTCCATCCTCCTCCACCCTCCTCCACCCTCCATCTCCTCCTCCCTCGGGGACGTCCTCACGCCACAAATCTCACTCGGGGGGTTCCTTCCCTTCCTCGGCGAGCGCGTGGACGCCGCTGGACGCGCCTTCAATTCAATTGGTCCCCACGCCACGCCACGCCACGCCACTCCCCGAGGCGGACACGGACACGAAAAACAAACGTCGCCCCCCCCCCCCTCAATGCGCACATATTCCCTCGCACTCTTTCACACCCAGCTAGCTCGTTCGCTCACTCGTTCTCCCTCATTTGCTTCTCACTCTTCTTCTCCCGCCCTTTTCTCCTGAGACGGAGGCCCACCCCTATATGTGAGGGTTCAAAAACCTACAGCATCCCTCATCCCGCAACCCCACGCGCGGCGCTGCCAACCCCGCCAACCCCCCTCTTTTAAGAGAGAACTTTTTGAGCTCTGTCTGGGCTGGACCGGCTGCCGCACCGCGGGGACTCGACTCACAGCATTGTTCGGTTGGCCAGCTGGGTTAGGCGGATTTTATTTATGAATCCGAACGCAGTCGTGGACCACGTGGACTTTTATATCTGTACGCGTATAGTCAAAGGTATTTCAAGCTGAGATTTTTTGATATACTTTTTGACAGTGCTGGCCACTACTATAGGCTTTGTCCGTCACCCTATCCATCACCTCCAGTGACATAGTACAGCTGCAGCAAACGGGAGGGCAGACCAGAACCGTTCAGTACACTGCCAACGAACCGTTCAAACATGACTGCATATTTGATCGTGAACTGGAACAAACTTTATTCGGATGAGGGAATAAAAGAAGACAGGGAGGGTTTTGTCGGGCAGGGTGCAGTTTCTTCTCCCCCATCTCACCCACCCCTTGCCAGTGACGCGCCATACGTTGAACTGCAGGTGCTGCGGCCAAGTTTTCCCGATAAAGGTGATAAGAAGAGCCGGAGACGGCGGAGCTGGCCGAGCAAGCCGAGGGACTAGAGAGGGAGAGGAAGGAGGACTCGGGCCACATGACACGCACGTCAAGGCGAGTTTAACAGCTGTTTGGCTGCGATACGTTTACGATCTTCAGCCGGGACCACCGCCGCCGCGCTAGACTAGCGACTGTCCGCGCCCCCCGCGCCCTCGACGGACTTGAGATGGAAATTTCCAAAAAGAAACAAATCGACGATCACCAGAAAAATCATTGGACCATTTTCAAAATGTCGTCAAACATGGGGATTCTTGTATTTACTATTTTTTTTCAATGAAATCTTGCATTCTATCTTCAAAATGTTTCGGTCATTACATCTTTTACCTCAACTCCACGGCCATGGCCGCGGTGTGGCGGCCGTGAGTGGCGTAGCCCCAGTGAGAAACAGTTACATCGAAATGATGTCAGACTGATATCGTTGTCGGTAAATTGTCGATTATCGTGTCGAATCGATCCTGATATGGTCTCAAAATCGAGACATTTCCGATAACTGACATCTATTTGATGTCGATTCGATGTCACATCGATTTTTATTTCTCACTGGGAGGAGGGTAAGTGTGGGAGACAAAGCAACTTTCAGGAGGCCAGCAGCGGGCCTGAAACCGAGTCTAAAAATACGTAATTCTACAGTAATCAAAGGTTCTGCAAAGGCGCCCCTTCGCTGTTCCGCTGCCGCCTCCGCCCCCTCCGCGGCGGCAACGGCACAGAGGCGTAAGCTCGGCGTAAGCACCCGTGCCGAGCCAGTCTGTGGGGGTTGCCGCCTCCAGACGCCTCTCTCTCTCTCTTACTCACTCCCACCAACCCCCCTGCGAAATGCTCCCTCGCACTTATGGCATCGGCCGCCCCCGCTCCCGAGGGTGGCCCTGTAAAAGCTGTGCCATCAGAGGCGGACGGAATAGTTGGCGGCGTCGCGGCCCCGCCCCGCCCCGCCGCGCCCCGCCCCGCCCGGGCCGAGACCCTCTAACTCGGGCCGAGATCACATGCTAATGAAGCATGTGCCAGAGCCGGGGGAGCGGGCCGGTCCCATCCACTCACGTCAGGTCAAAGGTCCCCCCAATGTCCCATGTCACGCAGCCTCACGGCTCCGGGGGGAGCCAGGGGGGGAGCCACCGCCGGCTCCATCGAGAAGCCCCCATAGTATACGAGCCACAGACGACGCGACGACGCCACGGGGCGCGCTGGGCCCACGCCGCAACCGTTGAGGCTCGCGATGATGACCTCTCGAGGCCCCCGATGACGACCTCTCAAGGCCCCCGTCAGCGGCGGCGGCGGCGGCGAGTCGCACCCACACGTCAACAACATCCCGAGCCCAGCAGCGCCGCTACTCGGACACCAAACACTTCCACTTCCTCCCCGCGCAGTACAAACGCGCGACGCCATCCTGGCGCAAACGTCGCGGCAATATCGCGTCGGCGTCGATTTTTTCCCTTGCTGGCGTCGGTTCGCGCAGTAGGGAGTAAGGCACTCCAGGAGAGCAGAACAACAAGAGCGGAAGCAAGAGCCTGAAAGGAAAGGCCGTTTTGCACTCGGCGAAAGAAGTTTACATGGGGCTGCGACGTTGTTGACGTTGCCATTTCACGCGATGAATATAAACGGAGCGTAGCGCTGCGCTGCGTAGATTGTTTTCGCTCGTTCACCCTCTCACAACCACCTTTCTGGCTCACGTTTTTGTTATTCTTCTCCTGCCGGCCCAGCTGAGAGCTAAGAACAGGGGAGGTACCCGTTCAAAATTTTGAATCACAGCCAATTCAAAACTGAATTTTCATAGAAATACTGTATATATTTGTGAGTGTGTTTGTGTGGATGGGCCGGTCAACTCGACGGTGACCCATTCGACGTGACGGCCTCCTTGGAGGCGGAGCAGCACGGCCGGACTCACCTAGCGTGTCGCCTGGACCTGTTGCTGGCTGTTGATGTGTGAACCGCGGGTGAACGGTTTGCGAGTCGCTGGTGAACGACTGGTGAACGGCTGGTGAACAGTTGTCGCGGCGGGTCTGTGTGCGGTACACGATGACCAGATGTCAATTAACACCGCTTGTCCGCTGCCCGACGGGACGGGCGGCACGGGGCCGGCCGCTCGGTTTGCACCTAGGCGTCGTCGTCGTCGTCGACGACGTCCTCGCGCCCAGCCCGGGCGTCCCACCGCGACAGCGACACCACCTTCGGGAGGCGGACAACGTCGGCGACCCGGTCGCGGACCCGGCGGTCATGACCGTCACCAGGACACTCTCGCGGCCGAGCCCCAGCACGGCACTGGGGGGCCCGGGGCGCCAGCTACATCGCGCTCGGGGGCGTGCCGGGGGCGGCAGGGGGCAGCCGGGGGGCGGCGCAGTCCGGGTGTCGTGCCCCGTCTCGTATGACCACGTCCGCGAAGCTCTCGAGGGCGCCGGCAGCGCGGACGGAGCTCCCCGTGCGTGCTCGTGGCAGGGCAGTCGGCAGTCGACTGGTCTCTCTGGAGCAGCGGGCGGGTGGTGGCGCGCGGCTGCGGAGGCGGCGGCGGCGGCGGGCCCGACTAGAGCGTCGAGACGGCCTCCCGTTGGGGGCGGGGGCGGGCGGGGGCGGG